GGCATTCACACAAGATACGTTCTCGTTCAGCCACAATACATATTCCACGGTAGACAACGTTATACAACAGTTTACATATGAATGAATATAGTATACCCGACACACTCTGACTAATACATTACCCGAGTTGGCATTCACACAAGATATGTTCTGGTTCAGCAACAATACATATTCAACGGTAGACAACGTTATACAACAGTTTACATATGAATGAATATAGTATACCCGACTCACTCTGACTAATACATTACCCGAGTTGGCATTCACACAAGATACGTTCTCGTTCAGCCACAATACATATTCAACGGTAGACAACGTTATACAACAGTTTACATATGAATGAATATAGTATACCCGACTCACTCTGACTAATACATTACCCGAGTTGGCATTCACACAAGATACGTTCTCGTTCAGCCACAATACATATTCAACGGTAGACAACGTTATACAACAGTTTACATATGAATGAATATAGTATACCCGACACACTCTGACTAATACATTACCCGAGTTGGCATTCACACAAGATACGTCTCGTTCAGCCACAATACATATTCAACGGTAGACAACGTTATACAACAGTTTACATATGAATGAATATAGTATACCCGACTCACTCTGACTAATACATTACCCGAGTTGGCATTCACACAAGATACGTTCTCGTTCAGCAACAATACATATTCCAGAAGGTAAACAACGTAATAAAGTTGACAGAATTTACATAATCTCTTGACAGCAGTCGTACAATGGGGATATCTAAGATATACACACACGCATGCCATTTTCAGTTTTGCAGGTATTGCCAAGGGTAATAGCAGGTAATAGCAGGTATCGCCAAGGGTAATAGCATATAGTGAAGAATAAACATAGTAAAAGATAGCAACGTTCTTACCTGAATGCATAAACAATCAGCTTATCAAGGAACTGGAGAAAACGACCAGATGACGTTTTCTCTAAACACATCAGACGTTTTCTCAAAGTACAAAGGACGTTTTCTCTAACGCGGCGGTCGTTGTCTCTAATTAACCAGCGACCGTTTTCGCGGGCGGACGTTTTCTCTATAACCCGTTTATTAGACAGCCACAGAATGATTAGGACTGTCTGTCGTCCGTATTTACACATATTCTAGCTCAGCAAATAATCCCATTTACTGATTAAACTGACGATAAAGTTGTTATTGTGAACTTTAGTGGCGCTATCTCGCAAGAATTATATAATTTAGTTTGACCGACGCATTGATGATAGAGATGTATATGAGCGAAGTTAAATATTTTTGTCTAACTGCATCTGACCAGCATAATGAGATATACTGGTCCTGGATTATGTCCGATATGAGTTATCGATTTGACCCTTGACAGGTTTAAGAGACTTGAACGCGGTCTCTTAGTTTAAAAAAACTCCTATTTCCAATCCTTAATTTGTGGCATGTAACGTGATAAAATATTTGTAAAACTTGTCCACTTCGTCCATGTTGATATTTGTATAAAATATATTACAGTGTACAATCACTATCCAATACGTAGTACTAATCCTGCCCTCCTCTGTTGATATCAGGAATATTGTAGACCATACCTCCGATACATTTCCCGAGATGACAAGGATCATCGTAGTATGTGTCACAAATTAAATTCAGATTTGAGGGTTCAGGGCAGTTTCGATAATCTGTTGTCTAGTCATTATATACGATTTGATTGCTGCGGACTATTCCATTGTGTTTTCCTAGTACATTCCTCCTTCAGGACTTAAATCACGAGCAGCCCCGTCATAAAGTACATGAACTTTGATGTGTACTCAAATATGTGTACTTATATATTTGATCATGAAACTTTCTATGTAGGTATTGGGTCTGAATCATCGAGAGGGTACGGATACTTGGCCGCCATCGTAATGGCAGAAATGAAAAATATATTTTCCGGTCCAGTTTTCAAATCGATAAGTAAATGTATCTGAACACGATATAAAATATAAGTAGTCGTATTTGAAGGCAAGTGTCTAGGGAAGTGAATTGTGTTGTATTTGGCGTTAGATCACGACGCATCACTTTGCTAAACCTATAACGCGTGGGGCAGGTTTGGACTGGGAATCTATAAGGAAAACATTATGGGATGTTCTATGTAGCGACAGGTCAGTATTAAAATCGTATGTTGGGGGCAGTACAGAGGTACGGTTACCGCAGCTAGGTTCAGAGTAATGGACACCCAAATCCAAATCTTTACTACAGAAGTGTACTACAAACCATTTCTACTTGCGTACAGGTCAGAAATAACAGAATAAGCCAAATAAATGTAGAATACAATTAGTTCATCTGAACTGGGCTGTTCAATTAGATTTAGATGATTAATACAGTGGTATACATCTAGTACACAGTGGCATACCTCTAGTACACAATGGCATACATCTAGTATACAGTGGTATACATCTAGTACACAGTGGTATACATTTAGTAAACAGTGGCATACATCTAGTACACAGTGGTATACATCTAGAACACAGTGGCATACATTTAGTAAACAGTGGCATACATCTAGGACACAGTGGCATATATCTAGTACAAAGTGGTATACATGTAGTACACAGTGGTATACATCTAGTATACAGTGGCATACATCTAGTACACAATGGTATACATCTAGTACACAGTGGTATACATTTAGTACACGGTGGTATACATCTAGTATACAGTTGCATACATTTAGTACACAATGGTATACATCTAGTACAGAGTGGCATACATTTAGTACACAGTGGCATACATCCAGTACACAGTGGCATACATCTAGTACACAGTGGCACACATCTAGTACACAATGGTATACATCAAGTACACAATAGTATGTATCTAGTACAAAGTGGCATACATCAAGTACACAGTGGCATACATCTAGTACACAGTGGCTTACATCTAGTACACAGTGGTATATATCTAGTACACAGTGGCATACATCTAGTACACAATGGTATACATCTAGTACACAATAGTATCTATCTAGTACAAAGTGACATACATCTAGTACACAGTGGTATACATCTAGTACACAGTGGTATACATTTAGTACACGGTGGTATACATCTAGTACAGAGTGGCATACATCTAGTACACAGTGGTATACATCTAGTACACAATAGTATCTATCTAGTACAAAGTGACATACATCTAGTACACAGTGGTATACATCTAGTACACAGTGGTATACATTTAGTACACGGTGGTATACATCTAGTACAAAGTGACATACATCTAGTGCACAGTGGTATACATCTAGTACACAGTGGTATACATTTAGTACACAATGGTATACATCTAGTACACAGTGGTATACATCTAGTACACAGTGGCATACATCCAGTACACAGTGGCATACATCTAGTACACAGTGGTATATATCTAGTACACAGTGGCATACATCTAGTACACAATGGTATACATCTAGTACAGAGTGGCATACATCTAGTACACAGTGGCATATATATAGTACAAAATAGTATGTATCTAGTACACAGTGGCATACATCTAGTACACATTGGTATACTTATAGTACACAGTGGCATACATCTAGTACACAGTGGTTTACATCTAGTACACGATCGTATAGATCTAGTACACAATGGCATGCAGTTAGTACACAATGGTATCCATCTACTACACAGTGGCATACATCTAGTACACAGTGGCATACATATAGTACAAAGTGACATACATCTAGTACACAGTGGTATACATCTAGTATACAGTGGCATACATCTAGTACACAGTAGTATACATATAGTACACAGTGGTACACATCTAGAACACAATGGTTTACATCCAGTACACAGAGGTATACATTAATTACACAAATGTATACATCTTGTACGCAATGGTATACATCTACTAGACAATGGTTTACATCTAGTACACAGTGGTACAACTCTAGTACACACTGATTTAAATCTAGAACAAAATGGTTTACATCTAGTACACAATGGTATAAATCAATTACACAATAGCATACATCTAGTACACAGTTGTACACATCTAGAACACAATGGTTTACATCTAGTACACAGACGTATACATTAATTACACAAATGTATACATCTTGTACACAATGGTATACATCTAGTACACAATGGTTTACATCTAGTAAACAGTGGCGCAACTCTAGTACACAATGATTTACATCTAGGACACAATGGTTTACATCTAGTACACAATGGTATAAATCTAGTACACAATGGTACACATCTAGTACACAATGGTTTATATGTAGAACACAATGGTTTAAACCTAACACACAATGGTATACATTTAGTACACAATGGAATACATCTAATACACATAGGTATACATCTAGTACACAGTGGTATACATCTAGTAGACAATGATTTACATCTAGAACACAATGGTTAAAATCTAGTACACAATGGTATACATCTTGTACACAATGCTATACATCTAGTACACAACGGTATGCATCTACTACACATTGGTCTACATCTAGTACACAGAGCAATACATCTAGTACACAATGGTATATATCTAGTACATAATGGTATACATCTAGTACACAGTTATATACAACAATTACACAATGGTTTACATCAAGTACACAGTGGTATAATTCTAGTACACAACTGTATATATTAGGTACACAATGGTATGCATCTAGTACACAATGGTATACATCAACTACACAATGCTATACATCTAGGACACAGTGGTATATATCTAGCACACAATGCTATACATCAAGTACAGAGTGGTATACATGTAGTACACAATGGTATACATTTAGTGCACAATGGTATGCATCTAGTACACATCTAGTACACAATGCTATACATCTAGTACAGAAAAGTATACTGGTACTAGAATATTTTTTATGAAGTTGAACCTTTTTCAAAAGTTTCTATCCATATTTAATCCTGATGTTAGCATTTGAAAGAATGAATGTTACCCAATCTTCATATTATTTCTGTTGTTGTTTGTTGATAACACTGCATAGGGGCGAATTCGAGGACTACTCACAGTACACTATCCAGGTGATACCATACAGCTTGTATACGTTGGAGACTTGTATACGTTCCTGTGACTGCATTGGGGCGACCCACCGGGACAACTCTATAGTTTATCTGACAACATATGTTGAACAATAGTCATGTTGCCTCCAGCACAGGCAAAATGAAGTAAACTGTTACCATCTGTATCAACCAGCGATAGGTCCGCCCCCTCTGATTCCAAGAAGTCAAGCACACTTTTGTGTCCTTGGAAAGCAGCAAACATAATCGGTGTCCATCCATTCATTCCCCTTTGGTTAATGTTAGAATCTGACAGCAGCAGATGTTGAACAATAGTCATGTTGCCTCCCACACAGGCAAGATGAAGTAAACTGTTACCATCTGTATCAACCAGCGATAGGTCCGCCCCCTCTGGTTCCAGGAAGTTAAACACGAGGTTGTGTCCTTTGAAAGCAGCAACCATAATCGGTGTCCGTCCTTTCATTCCCCGTTGGTTGATGTTAGATTCTGACAGCAGATGTTGAACAATAGTCATGTTGCCTTCTGCACAGCAAAGATTAAGTAAACTGTTGTCATCCGTATCAACCAGCGATAGGTCCGCTCCCTCTGATTCCAGGAAGTCAAACACGCTTTTGTGTCCATTGACAGCTGCAACCATTATCGGTGTGCACCCATTCATTCCCCTCTGGTTGATATTAGAATCTGACAGCAGATGTTGAACAATAGTCATGTTCCCTCCCACACAGGTAAGATGAAGTAAACTGTTACCAGTTGTATCAGCCAGCGATAGGTCCGCCCCCTCTGATTCCAGGAAGTCAAACACGCTTTTGTGTCCGAAGACAGCAGCAACCATTATCGGTGTCGATCCATTCCTTCCTCTTTGGTTGATGTTAGAATCGGGCAGCAGATGTTGAACAATAGTCATGTTGCCTCCCCAACAGGCAAGATTAAGTAAACTGTTACCAGTTGTATCAGCCAGCGATAGGTCCGCCCCCTTTGATTCGAGGAAGTCAAACACGCTTTCGTGTCCTTTGACAGCTGCAACCATTATCGGTGTCATTCCATTCATTCCCCTTTGGTTGATGTTTGATTCTGACAGCAGATGTTGAACAATAGTCATGTTCCCTCCCAAACAGGCAAGATGAAGTAAACTGTTACCAGTTGTATCAGCCAGCGATAGGTCCGCCCCCTTTGATTCCAGGAAGTCGAACACGTTTTTGTGTCCTTTGGCAGCTGCACCCATTATCGGTGTCCACCCATTCATTCCCCTTTGGTTGATATTAGCATCTGACAGCAGATGTTGAACAACAGTCATGTTGCCTTCCTGACAGGCAAGATGAAGTAAACTATTCCCAACTGTATCAACCAGCGATAGGTCCGCCCCCGCTGATTCCAGGAAGTTAAACACGAGGTTGTGTCCTTTGACAGCAGCGACCATTATCGGTGTCAGTCCTTTCATTCCCCTTTGGTTGATGTTAGAATCGGACAGCAGATGTTGAACAATAGTCATGTTCCCTCCCAAACAGGCAAGATGAAGTAAACTGTTACCAGATGTATCAGCCAGCGATAGGTTCGCCCCCTTTGATTCGAGGAAGTCAAACACGCTTTCGTGTCATTTGACAGCTGCAACCATTATCGGTGTCATTCCATTCATTCCCCTTTGGTTGATGTTTGATTTTGACAGCAGATGTTGAACAATAGTCATGTTCCCTCCCAAACAGGCAAGATGAAGTAAACTGTTACCAGTTGTATCAGCCAGCAATAGGTCCGCCCCCTTAGATTCCAGGAAGTCAAAAACGTTTTTGTGTCCTTTGGCAGCTGCACCCATTATCGGTGTCCACCCATTCATTCCCCTTTGGTTGATATTAGCATCTGACAGCAGATGTTGAACAACAGTCATGTTGCCTTCCTGACAGGCAAGATGAAGTAAACTATTCCCAACTGTATCAACCAGCGATAGGTCCGCCCCCTCTGATTCCAGGAAGTCAAATACGCTGTTGCGTCCGAAGACAGCAGCAACCATTATCGGTGTCCGCCATTTCATCCCCCTCTGGTTGATGTTAGAATCTGACAGCAGATGTTGAACAATAGTCATGTTGCCTCCCACACTGGCAAGATGAAGTAAACTATCACCCGTTGTATCAAATAGCGATAAGTCCGCTCCCTCTGATTCCAGGAAGTCAAAGACGCTTTTGTGTCCGAAGACAGCAGCAACCATTATCGGTGTCCACCCATTCATCCCCCTTTGGTTGATGTTAGAATCTGACAACAGGTGTTTTACAATAGTCATGTTGCCTCCCGCACAAGCAAGATGAAGTAAACTGTGACCATCTGTATCAACCAGCGATAGGTCCGCCCCCTCTGATTCCAGGAAGCCCAACACGCTTTTGTGTCCTTTGAAAGCAGCAACCATAATCGGTGTCCGTCCTTTCATTCCCCTTTGGTTGATGTTTGAATCAGACAGCAGATGTTGAACAATAGTCATGTTGCCTTCCTGACAGGCAAGATGAAGTAAACTATCCCCATCTCTATCAACCAGCAATAGGTCCGCCCCCTCTGATTCCAGTAAGTCAAAGACGCTGTTGTGTCCGAAGACAGCTGCAGCCATTATCGGTGTCCACCCATTCATTCCCCTTTGGTTGATGTTTGATTCTGACAGCAGATGTTGAACAATAGTCATGCTGCCTTCTGCACAGGTAAGAGGAAGTAAACTGTTACCATCTGTATCAAACAGCGATAGGTCCGCCCCCTTTGATTCCAGGAAGTCAAGCACACTTTTATGTCCTTTGACAGCAGCAACCATTATCGGTGTCCGTCCTTTCATTCCCCTTTGGTTGATGTTAGAATCTGACAGCAGATGTTGAACAATAGTCATGTACCCTCCCACACAGGTAAGATGAAGTAAACTATCCCCATCTGTATCAACCAGCGATAGGTCCGCCCCCTTTGATTCCAGGAAGTCAAAGACGCCTTTGTGTCCGAAGACAGCAGCAACCATTATCGGTGTCCACCCATTCATCCCCCTTTGGTTAATGTTAGAATCTGACAGCAGATGTTGAACAATAGTCATGTACCCTCTCATACAGGTAAGATGAAGTAAACTATTACCATCTGTATCAACCAGCGATAGGTCCGCCCCCTTTGATTCCAGGAAGTCAAAGACGCTTTTGTGTCCGAAGACAGCAGCAACCATTATCGGTGTCCACCCATTCACCCCCCTTTGGTTGATGTTAGAATCTGACAGCAGATGTTGAATAATAGTCATGTTCCCTCCCACACAGGTAAGATGAAGTAAACTATTACCACCTGTATCAAACAGCGAAAGGTCCGCCCCCTTTGATTCCAGGAAGTCAAAGACGCTTTTGTGTCCTTTGACAGCAGCAACCATTATCGGTGTCCACCCATCCATCCCCCTTTGGTTGATGTTAGAATCTGACAGCAGATGTTGAACAATAGTCATGTTCCCTCCCAAACAGGTAAGATGAAGTAAACTATTACCATCTGTATCAACCAGCGATAGGTCCGCCCCCTCTGATTCCAGGAAGTCAAAGACGCTTTTGTGTCCGAAGACAGCAGCACCCATTATCGGTGTCCATCCATTCTTTCCTTTTTTGTTGATACAAATTGATGGTAGCAGTTCCCTAACACTAGCAATGCTTCCTCCTTTACAAGCAAGGTGAATAACACCATTTCCATACGTGTCCAGGACATCCAGATTTGAGAATGGCATTAGCTGCTGGAAGCAATCCCCTGACCCTGTTCCTGCTGCAATCATTAGAGGAGTGTGGCCATCATCATCAACACTGTCTATAGCATGTTTGTTTACCGATACATTTAGCAGTGCACGAAGTGTGTTTTCGTGTCGTGATTTACTTACCAAATGGAAGATGTTTTGCATCATCGGGTCACAAGTATGGGGATTCGCTCCTTCATTCAGCAGATACAACAGTGTTTCAGTACTACCATTTCGTGCTGCTGACAACATGAGCCTGTTCAGTCTGTTAATCCGGTCATGCTCATCACTCCTGGGGAGAAGCCATTGTAGTAATGTCAGTTTGTTTGCTTGGGCACAACCTTCCATACCCTCTCTGATCTCGTCTTGTGTAAACACTTCTCCAGTTTGGTTCTCAACATTTGTAACCAAATATGGATTATGTCCAAGAACAGCCCAATACAAAAAACATTTTCCGTTTTCTCTTTGGTGAAACCAGGCATTGTCTATGGAATCATTTTTCGTCCCATCAAAGTGTAGTCTTTCAAGAAGTTGTTCAACTAGTTTGTCTTGCTTAAGAATTGGATGTGTTACTGACTTAGAAAAATGTCCTTGCTTTAGAGAATTTGCAAGCCGTGTGGTAAGAAGATCATGATACTCTTCAGAAACGGAAATCAAGTGAAGATGTTCATCAACTTTTGTTTCTTGAACTGTCCCTTTTTGTACACGCTCGTACAGAAAGTCTTCACTGCAATGCTTCAAAACAAAACTTGGATTGACATTATATAAGACACAGGCACAGGCATCATAGATTGAAGAATGAGCAAAGCCTACAGTGTCTCCTCTTGTGAAGTATGTACCTCGGAAACTTCTTGCTGCTTGGCACATCCCAGAGCGTGTAGCGGTAGGCATGAGACGTATCACATGTTTGACTTTCGTATCCAAGTCCTGGTCCTCATCCTCGCTTTCTAACTTTGTCAATTTTAATCTGTTTTCACACAATAACATCAGGACTAACACTGCAGATCTGTCATTCTCAGAAGTAATTATGCCAGTGAGTTCCTCCCTCAAATAAGACAAGGGTTCCTTGAAAAGCTTTCTGACATTTTTTGAAAAAGAAGCAAATTTACATATAAGTGGAAATCCAAATAGTTTCGAATCTGTTTCCAAATCTCTGTATTCAGGTAGGTAATCTCTGGAGCATTCATCTAGCATGCTCTTATGTCTCTGGTATATTTCCTGTTTCTCTGCTGGGGAAAGACAGTGGACATCATGTAAAGTTATATTCATAATTGTTTGTTCCTCAAACAGTGGGAAACAACTAAAGTGCAGTTGTGCACGTCCGTCATGGAAGTTGTATGACTTTGATGTGAAAATGACACGAATGTCCTTTGTTTGACTGTTTCTTTTGTCATCATGACTGGATTTACTTCCATCTTGCAAAACTGACTGCATTTGTTCACGGGACTGTTTGCATTGGTCTATATGGAGAATAAGATCGTTTAGAAATGATTTAATCAGTGGAACATTAGTGGACAAGCCAACAGGGCCAAACATGTCATCAATGATAAGAAATACTCTTGATGTAGAGCTGAGGCAGCTGTCCAAGTCAAACTTCTCAATGCTGTCCACAAACACGACCTGGTAACCTCGGTTTCTATAACGTGAACCCAACATCAGAGCCATCGTTGTCTTCCCTTCTCCAGAGGCACCATAGATGGTCACATTCCCAAACTGCTTTACTTTTTGCTTCATCGTTCTGTAGATTTCTGTTTCAACAAACACTTTCTTTGCTTCAATAAGGCGGAGTTCGAGAGTATCTGTGAAGAAACAACGTCCTATGTGAATACTGAATATATTGGAAGTAAACTACAGGGATATAAGTATACTAATACTAACTACGTTGCTAAGATGGGTAACTTATGTACAGCTAATTAGACCTTTCATTCCACAATAATCAGTCAAGAGTTACCTCCTTGGATTGTGACGTAATTCATGCCAACTGGCGCCCTGTCCTGTCTACTCGAAATGTATGATACCCGGGTTGCCTTGTTTAAACATAAAACGTCAATGCAAGAGAATACCAGTGATACCAGTGAATACCCGAAAATCAGTGATGACCCCAGGTGTTCGCAAAAAATGGAAGCATGACAACAACCTGGATAAGTGCAACAGTGCGCTACCTTCCGCTGTATCTGGACATGTAGACGTATGTGTATGTTACGAAGTAGAATACCATACAGAGCATAGCTTTTGCCTTTTTAAATCTTTTTTTTATCATGAGAGAGACACACTCCAATGTTTGTTGTTGTCGTGATCGACGGTATATTTGGGGCCGCAATTTTTATTTTTGCCTTTTAACACTGCTAATAAGCACCTCCCAGAGTTGCTGACTTTCACACATCATCGCTGTGCCACAGCGTGGTATTATATAGCACAGCGATATATAGCGCTGGACAGCCCTGTACCTAAGCAACGCGACCCAGTTGATGTTCATGAAATTGTCGACAATTGGCCAGAATCTGGATAATTTATCAAATGTTTATTTCATAACTTAGGAATTGTATTTTGTCTGTCTTTCACTAGTTTGTTCTGTTTCCAAAATAAAAACGGTATTTAATCTACCCTGTGCACCACGGCTGCACAAATGCCTTGACAATTCCCTTTGTATGCGCGCTTATTGTCCAATGCCGCACTCAGCAATATTCCAGCTGTATGACGAAGGCCTGTATATAATGAAGTCATCCAGTGCCTGGGATTATGCGCGACGATCCACCAAGGCACCTCAAACGGTTCTGACGTGAACTCTCCATCAGTTCCAAATATCCCATGGGTTTGCATCTACGATTAGCAATAGGGTGCTGGGGATACAGTCCCACGGGGCCCTTGGGGTTTGGGGGTTTGACATTTAGATCATTGGCTTGAAAGACCTTTTTTATTTGTTAAGCTTCCCTTTCCCCCTTCTCCTAACCCCTTACCCTAATGTTAAGAGGCTGTGGGTGTGGGCCCATAACTTGTACTTATCTACTCACCTTCTCCGGCAGTCCCCGGTACCATCTGCCCAGTGGAGATGTTGACGTACTTCGAGTTGGCAACAATGATGCCCGTGGCTGGACCACCTGGCAACAAATCAACGATGATGTTCAACAACGAACCCCACAGTTTAATACAAAATATAAACTAGCTTCACTTTCTTTAATAAATGTATCATTCATCTGTTTGGTCACTGATTTGTCATCTCTTATAACCCGCCATTTCACAATTATGCTACTTAACATTTAACAAAAAACATTTTATCAGTACTGCAAGGCCCCTGTCATATATTCCATTCACTGTTCCTTCAAGTGTGGGAATATTATATGATGTAACTTAATGCAGAAGTATTCAAATACGCTTCATTCTTCATTGTTCTTTAGGATTTATAGCGTAGCTATCCTATATACTGGTCTATTAAACTTTGGTTCATGGCATGGTTCACAGCTCATAGAATCCTAAATTATTAATCCTAGGACCTTGCAATTTTTTTTTACATTTCATGAAATTTGAAATATTTTAAATGTTTAGAATACTAGTATTATCCCAGCATTAGCCTCTTAAAGTTTGCTCAATAAAAAGCGTTGAATCCATGCCTCCAATACACCAGGGTTGTCTACTGCCATCTTCCAAAGGCAAGTGAGTTAACTGACTGTACAAGACCAGTTTCCACCTTTGCCGACTTAGGCTGGTATTATGGAGTTAAATTTTGGATGGACTAACACGTCTGGAGTTACTAAAGTCCGAGATTTTTTTTTCTATTTCTATACTTATCCTGCATTACTCCTTAATGAATATTAGTGCGTGTTTTTTTACAGAGAAAAGAGCTGGTTGAAGGTCTTTGCTTGGAGAAGGTGTTCTAACTAGCTGAGAGGCCAACCCTGTCAAGCAGGTCCCACGTCATGCGGCGATCATCCGGAACGTGAAGACATAACTTCTCTGGTCCTGGGTGTGGCTGCCTGTTGCGAGGGTGGATCAGCAGATTTGGCCAATCTGGGAGTGGCAGTGAGTTGGCATCGGCTAGCACTCTGAGGTTGACAAACCAAGCCCTCACCAGTCACCAGTGCGTGACCATAGATCAGATCGAGGTTCTGTGTCAATCTGATCTTCTGGACGACCCTGGAAGGGAATACAGGTGGCGCTAAGGTTACGCATACTCCTTCCCAAGGGGCGCTGTAGGCGTTGACTGCCCAAGCCAGGGGATCTGGAACCGGTTATATGTAGGAGGGTTATCCTCCGACGAGTCCTTGAGAATGGCTCTGGAGGACGACGCCATCAGTGAGAGAGGCTTGAGAGTGTGGCGAACCACGGTCTCCAAGTAGGCGAGTTTACTGTCAGAAACTCGTACTGAGGTGGAGCCGTTAGACCCAGTCATGCGGTGTAGATCCTACTCTAAAGCATGAGCATGGTCCACGACCTGGAGAGCGTGAGCTGGGTAGTCGCCTCGTTTATAGCGTGGGGGCCTGAGAGAAGGAGTAAGAGAGAACTTGCTGAAGTCCTCATCAAGGGCCGAGATCATGTCCTTGATCAGCGGGTCCGGTGGGAGCGAAGGGATGGCTTGCTATCGACCTCTAGGCCAGGAAAGGGAGCAACTGTCTCTAAGACTATCAGCCAACCAGTCAGCAACCTGGTCCACGCCAAGACGGAGTCGCCGTCCGTGGGGGTGTGGTCATTACAAGGGACGAAG